TTCAAATCAATTCTTCATGTTTTGAATCTTAATCAAATCAGTCCTTCATTTTTTGAATTTAATCAAATTAGTCCCTTTAATTTTATTTGTGCTTATGATGCATGCTTGTCTTTGATTTTGTCCATTTTAGCCCAAAAATTAAAAAATATTTCAATTTGGTTTACCCTTCTTTCAAACTTACCTATTAAGACTCAAACATAAACACAACGAGTAAGTTGAATCAAAACCTCAATGTTAAAGTATGCAACCGTGTTTAAATGGAGGATTGTGAGGTGCGCGTATGCCTTTCCTCACTCCTAACCGAACCCCCGAACCTCGATTTTTGCGCAAACCCGTTTTAGGTGACTTATCCCACCTTATAATTTGGACGAGTGGCGACTCTCCTTCTTTTTATATTTTCACACTTAATTCCCTTTTTAAGTGGTCGTCAACAGATTGGCGACTCCACTGGGGACACTGAACCTAGAATCTCTGGTTTTCATATTCTAGGTTCACGAGGGTCGAGCTAATACTTTAACTTTGGGAGAATTTTCAACTTTTGATTTTCTTTGTTTGTTGAGTCTTTGTCGGTCTTTGTGCTTGTTTGCTCATTGTTTTAGTGGTTGCTTTGATTATTTTTATCTTTGAGTGCTTATCTTGCTACATCATGACATGCATCATCCCTTGCTCACATGTTCATGCATCATATCATCTCACATGCTCATCCATCATTGATATTATATGCTTATTCATCATGCATCATGCTTACATGCCTATTTGCTTGTGTGTGGATATACTCACCTTTTTGCACTTGGCTATAGAGTACTCAGTGAGTCTCTTCCCTCTTGTGCGATTATTTACATCTTTTTGCATGCTAAGTGTTGGTTGTTTTGTGTTACTAACCTTTTGCATTTGGCATGGGAGTACTAGGTGAGTCCCTTCCTACTGTGTAAGTAGGTTTGTTTGTGGGTGATATATTTGTTGAGTGTTTTATATGCTTTATTTGATTGTTGTGGGATATATGTTGCTATTTTTATGGTTGCCACTGTGCAGGTTATTGGAGTGTCATGCCCCTTGCACACACTCACTCTCATTTGGCATTAGGTCTATGTTTGAGGTGAACCCGACCTCTACTCTGGAATCCTTACGAATCTGGCTTGGAAGAGCAATTCTTCCCGCTTTGAGGAGTAAGATTGGTTCCCGTTAGGTTGTTTCCATTGGTTAATACGACACTTGATGATGTAATACCATTCTGTGTATTAGCTTTTGGAAATATCTCCTGTTGATTCCGAAAGGATAAATGGTTGAGAAAGCCTAATGCCCTTTAGGAAAACATGTATTGGCTTTAAAGAGATACCAACCCTAGGACATGTTTCCTTAGCATCCCACCCGTGAGGTTAGGAATCCCGTGTCTAAGACACAAGGGGCATTTTTCTTCACTAACTTTGTCTCCGCACATGACAGGTTTTCGTTTTTATATACATTTGAGGTATGATTAGTTATTCATCTTTTGCATTTAGACATCATTCTTGAGGTAAGGAGCATTCCATGCATTTCGTATCTTCATTTTCAACCCCATACATCAAAAAAACAAAAAAAAAAAAAGAAAAGAAAAAAGAAAAAGTTCATGATTGTTTCACATGCCATATATCCATCCTACTCATTTCACATTAAATCTTCCATATGTCTTGAAAATTTCACATATGCCCATTTTCCATCTAATGCATCACAAAACATGTTTTCATATTCATCTCATGTGACATTCTCCATTTTGTTCAATTTACATTTCGTTTTTCATCTCATGTTTCACAAAAATTTACAAAAAAAAATGAATGATACTCATGTTCATTACATTACATTTTCCATTGCACAAATATAAAAAAAAATCTCATTCACATGCATTTCACATTGCATTGTCTATCTCAAAGTTTCATTACAAGCATTATTATCTCTATCTCATATTTCCCATATTTCATAAAAGTTGCAAAAAAAAAAAATAAATAAATAAAAATGGTGAAAATGAAAAAAATGAA